CCAATGCATTCAACCATTTAAAAACATCTGAAATGCAGAACATTTTAAATGTATCAGTTCAAGCAAAATGTTTCTCTCCAGTGGTTAATGTGAAGGTGAGCTAGAATTTTTTTCAGATAATATGGGCCTGTTAAACAGATGAAAAGTAAGCATGACAGATAGTTTTAAACATTATAGCACCTTACACTTCTACAAATGGTACTGATTTTACATAAATATATCTCTAGCAACTGCAAAAAAGAAGTTAATCCTGGGTTTTACAGCATGACAGCAATTGAGATTAATTTCTGAAGACAGGACACGTATCTGATCAGTCCATATAATACTTATTCAGAGAGTTCTTTAACAGTCATTGAGACTATTTATCAAAAACTGCAATCAACAACTTAGATACTATAAATAATATAAGTTTTACTGAAATATGAAGAATACTTGCTTCCATGTAAATGTATGGCTAATCATTCCTCTAAAATCTTACTGCAGTATTTTCTTGCCTTGCAGGTTTCTCCAGCACGTCCCGCGGAAAAGAGTCTACCATTTTTCTGAAGGGATATTGACAGAAGTTAATCGTAAAAGAAAACCTTCTGTGAGACAGATGACTAAAGGCAACGGAGAAGATCCAAAAACTGGAAGTAGGATGGAACGCATCCAACAAGGAGTCCGGAAACGTACACTTTTGGCAAAAAAAAAAGTGCAGAGCATAACAAAGGATGATGTTAAAAGTTATTTATTGAGGAATGCCTTTGTGCTCTTCACCGTTGTTGCTGTGATTCTTGGTGAGTAATTTGTTCCATAGGAATATTCTGTTCTCCAGTGCATTTGACAATGACGATTTGCCTGGGCGATTTGCATTACAAATGAGATCCCAAATTCTTCTGCACTGATAAGAATGTTCTGGTTTGGAGAGTTTTGGCTTTGACAACTACATACTAAAGTTTAGGGAAGAGCCATTTTAATTATTCTAGTATTCCCAAGGACAATTTTGGTGAAAAAGAATTAGCTGTTTTACGGATTCTTCTCTTAAATAACCAGATATAATAACCAAATTGTAAGTTTTCAGTGAAATCTTTTTCTATCAAAGCCAGCTGCAGCTGAACATTTCGTTCAGGATGTAACTTTTATTTACCTAATCTATCAAAAATTAACACCTCGCAATGACAAACAGAAGTCCTCAATTAATGAAATGAAGTGACATTTCTAAGCAAAGGTATATATTTGAGCCTCAATCTTTTCAGTTTTCCCTTGATAAATGCAAAACAGTCAAACTTACTTAAGTACAAGTTTACGCTCTCTCAGTGACTCACAATCTTACACATGCATCTTGCAGATGCAATTGGGATAACAATGGCAATGCTGCTTATTCAAAGGACTGAAAGATAGCACCAGATTAAATGCCTTTTTAGAGTATATAGAGAGGAATCCAGAACATCAAACAGCATTTACATTTGGAATGCACCAAAATGTAGATTTAAAATATTACTACACATTTTGAATTTACATTAGAATGAGAATCTTCTGAGAAAAACATACAATTTTTTAAAACAATTTTTCCTTTATACAATTATGCGATCACTTCTGGTAATTTTCCTTTAACTACAGATTTTCTAAATGACACCATATGCTTCATGAAAACCGATTCTTTATAGTGTGAGCAAGAATATTATGGCTTTACCGTGCTACTTTCATTTTTATGTTCTAATTAGTTTAAAACATAAAAATATGAATCTGCTCATGAAAACCCAAATGTTAGCACTTAAAGATAGGGTATATATCCTACACCTATGTAGGCCCTAATGTCCTTGATAATGCTGAGGCATATAAACCTGCTTGTTATGTTTCTACAGCTTTTTTAGGAATTAAAATGTTAGGGCTTTACCATTACTGTTGCTTGATACTACATCTGCAGGGTTATTTTAAATTAATTTCAGGTCTGATGTTTTTTTTCTGGGAGAAAATGATATTCATTTGCATGTTGGTAAAATAAAGTACTTTGTTGCTATAACAGAAATGTCAGTCTCTGATATTTATCAATGATATTTGATCACAAGTGCTTTTAATTCTTAAATAAGAATTTGTTCAATGCAAAAACCCCATTAATATCGGGGGTAAAAAATTCAGGTATTTTATCTATAATGGTCAGAAAAGGCAGAAGAAATTAAGCAGGTCTTGAAATACTGTCCAACCTCAAAGGAATCCAATTCTTAGATTGTCACCTGTCAATACCGCACAATCCCAATGTGCTCTTGCAATTTCTTCACTGTCATCTAGCTCCAGTGTGATTCCCATAAATTTGGCAATGTGGGAACAGAAATGTAGGCTGGACAAGTGTTTTTACTGTTATTGCATGTTCCAATTAACTTTAGATGACGAGGGACAACCGTCTGCCCACAGCTCTGCTACCACCTACAGCAATGGCAGAGTGCCAATAAGGCTGCAGCACAAGTTGGAGAACCAGTGAAAATGTGCAGCCTAGAATGAGCTGGCTGCTCCAATTCTGCTCATGAAGCTATAGACGTATCTGGTGAAAAAATGCCTTCTCATTACTATGAGAGAATATTCCAAAATTTTCTCACATTTGCTATTTGTGGTATAATTTTACAGTATATATATATGATTAAAACAGTAAGTAAGTTCACACTTGGTAGCTCATAAAACGGTACAGTTTGCTTTTCTAGAGAGTTTTTTGCTGTTGTGGAAATACTCAGAAGTAGGGAACAGTTGGCTAAAGAGTTTGGAAAACATTCAGTGGTTGAACTCCTAGTTTGACAAGGACTAAAATGTTATAATCTCTCAGTTGTTTGGTGATCTGTGGAAAATCAGATGGTGGGCTTGATCTCTTTCCTAGCAGACAGTGATCAACATTGCGAAATTAACCCACCAATTAGCACGACTGGTTGTCTCATCAGAGATGCTTGGATGTGAGTGTAGGTGGAAACTAAACTATACTCAGACCAGGGTTGAATCATTTACAAGAAATGATGCTTAATGCTCTCTATAATCTAAACAGACAGATGACATCAGGTTTTAGAGCTGTCAGTCCAGCCATTTTCATCAAGACTACACTCAGGAAAAGCAAAGTTTTGGCTTTAAAGACAGCAACATTTCTTCAGAAACGTTTCTTTCAGGCATCTTTTGTCACAGGACCAACATGAAAAAGCCTATTTAATGGAGTATTTCCAATTTCTTTGCTGAGCAGGACTGATGCTGGTAGAGGTTAAGTGGATAGGATTGTATGTCTCAGCCCAGTTTCAGGGCTTTAGTTTATAACAGGTGCTTGAGTTTGTGTCTGTGGAAACATGCACTTTGTTATGAAGTGGGTAGCTGCAACATGCATTTGTTTGTGCTGCATACTGCTATTTTGCAGGCAGAGTGGAGATTTTCCGGCATTCACATGATATGGAGAAATATAGCCATTTACCCTAACTTCTGCTGTTAATCTGATTTTGAACTGATTTCTAAATTGAATTCACTAGCTGCTACAATATAAAAGCAATTAATCTTTAAAAACCTAATGATGAAGATGCAAGAAGTTATAATTCATGTTGAGAGTTACTTAGCACTATTCTCCATTTCCCAAAAGCCTCAAGGAAGGCCGTTCTGACTTCACATTCTGCATAGGTATGGTCTGTTTAGCCCATCGTCATTATCATTGTTGTTGCTATTTTTAGTGAAAATTAAACTGCTTTCAAGACCTTTGACAAACTTTGAGAAAAGCATGGTAAATAAGTGAGTTATGATGCAGTTTTTCAGATTCTTCTGGTACACCTAGAAATACTAAACTAGTTTTCTGCAGTAGATCTTGGCAAGAGCCAATAGATGAGAACAATTATGGGAGGCGGACTTGGGAAGCTGACCACTGGTAAATTCAGAGTGTCGCAATGACCAGGAGCAATTTAAGGTAGGCTAGGGGTCGTGGTGGCTCACGGAAAATCTTCAGGAAGTCTAACAAACTTTGAAGTGCTAGCCAAATTACTGGCAAAATCTCAAGCAGTGCCCTCTCTCCCACGCTACTTAGCTCCATCATCCTGTCCCCAAAATGCCTTCCTTTCAGATACCCTTCCTTCAGCAGACTGATTATTTGCTACTTACCTCCCATTTTCCAAAAATGCTACAGACTTTACTCTGGCAGGACTCCTAAACGCCAAAGAATCTCCTGTGGATTCTGAACTTGTACTGAAGGAAACATTGAGACACACAGAGCTGCCGAGCAGAGATCCTGAGAAGCTGTGCACAGAGAAATACTGTTTTAATTGAGGGGCTCAGTGAAGTAGAGGGAAGTTGTGGAGCAAGTACTATAAAAAGCAGTTTCTGCATAGTTATGAAGCTGTTACAGCTCCAAATCTCTACCTAAATCCTCTTTATACTGATGAAGTTATGGGCAGCAGTTGTCCACTGGGGCATCCAAGGAGGAAGGAGATGGATCCAGCTCTGTTTTCTGGCTACCTGTCCACTGAAGGGAGCACAGGACTGGCTCTGTCCTTGAACCCAGTCTTCTGTCATTGCAAGCAATCTCACAACAGACGTAAAATGTAGATAGGCCCATACAACATCTGTTCTACAACTGCAGGCACCATATATAAGATTCCAAAACTTTCCAACATCTTTATAAAAAAAAAAAAAACCTAGTTAAAAGTACAGGAAGAAGGCAGGAGAGATTAAGGCATTGCCAATGTCCTTATGTCCTGAAAAAACCAGAGTTAATTAAAGACTGCAGATGATCCTTCATAACACAGAAGGCAAAAAACCCCCACAAAATTCCTAAAATATCTGAACAGTGAAAAGCTATGCACAGTAGCAGATTCTCCTACCTCAATGCACTCCTGGTCTAATGAGTCTGTAATTCACTGGTAGACAGTATCCTGAATAACGCCCACAAAAAAAGGCCATCTCTTGGGTGTTGAAGCAACATCTTTTCTGCTATCGGTAGATCCTCTGTACCCACTGAAGGCTGAGGCTGACATACCCAGAGAAGGGTCTTTGACCCTATCACACATTGCCAATGAACATGGTGAGAGTGCCTAAGGCAGCCTTGGTAAAATTTGCATGAGAACAAGGCAAAGATCCATCACTGTGGGAGAAACAGCTGTGGGAGGTGACTCCTAGGTGAGACAATGCGTTAAAACATAAAGAGAGAAATGCGATGCCATACAAAAGATTATGATGCAGACAAGAAAATCAAGACAGTTTGGGGACAGCTAGGGAGAAACTAATTCTATTTATGCTGAACTCTGACAGGGGCTGCTCTGTCCTAATGCTCTCATGAAGAACCTGCCCAGCACAACTGCTTTCCCACTGAGTGACAAAACCTTCCTAAGTAATATTCTGAAAAAATTGCTAATCAAAGCCTTAATTATTTTTGAAGTTAAGAAATAGCTATATTTTGGGGAAAAAATCATAAACAGACACTGTAAGAACCAGAGTAACACTTAAAAATTCGAAGGAGATCATCCTTGTCGAAAAGGAGAAAAAGTGTAGAAATACAAAGGAGTTTAATTTTGCTATTAAGTAGCTGGTAATAAAAGTCTGACTGTGAATTATGAACAGTACATTAGTTTAGCAGTTACTTGCAAAATAAAATTAGGTTAATTTATTATCACAGTCTTAATTTCTTATCGTACACTCTGGCATGACTGCAATGAAACAGCACGGGTTGTTGGACAGCCATACGTGGCACAGAGTAACAACAATAAACTTGGCTATTTTGTGAATCACAGTTGTGCACTCTGGAGGCAGCAGCTGTGCATATATGCACAGTAAAGATACAAAATGTGCTAAA